TCCACATGTGAGAGAAGAAGTCAAAAATTACGGCTTGAATAGTAAAATAACGGTCAAAAAATCAATTTTTTGGGGCAAAAAATCCCTACCAAACGGGGCCGTAATATGAAAGAGCAGGTAACCCTAGCTTCCTCCACCACAGCACTTGAACAACCTCGCCGCCGTCGGCCCTTACTACAACTCAACTTTACAACTCCAGAAAAGGTACAACTCAAACAACAAGAAACCCATAACTAAAAATGGCAGTGCCGAAAATGAGATCTGAAGAATCCCTTTTGGTATGAGAGGAATAGGAAATAAAGGATCGAAGTTACGCTGAGTAAGTATCCTGATTGCTTCTCTTTTTCTCTATATGATTTCAATTATGCATTTATACATTTGGTTGAATGAATTATTGATTTAGATGTTCAATTTTTATCTTAACATGGGTTTGGCCTAGTGTAAGATCTGTTCTTTATTTGTTGCTGATTTATTTGTTTATCATAATTAAATATTACAGTGATAATGTAAGATCTGGCTGCAGCAATGCAAACTGTGTCCGATGCCTTTATAAGGGCCGAGCAAAGGGGGACAAAAAATTACTTTATATTGGGCTGATAGATTTCTTTTATGGGGGAAATTAGGTCGTCTAGCCTATAAAAATAGCTAATTTGATTAATACTTTTTAAACTAATTAAAGCTTTAGTTATGTTATTTGTACAATCGTGCTTGACAATGATGGTTTTGTCAAAATTTTGGCCATTGATTTAAAAAAAGGTTTTTGAAATGGATGAATGTATCGTTGTCAAGTTTAAGTTGTCGGTCAAGATTTTCAAACTAAATTATATATGTAGCACGATTCTTAAAACTTTTAAAGAAGTAATAGTTACGTCCTAAACTATTAACTAAAACCTAAAACTAAGGACTCGAACTATTAACTAAAACTTTCCCCTAGTTGCGATTCCATCTCCAAGAAACCTCAAGACTCAAATATATTGTTTGTGGGCTATGATCATTGATGACTTTACTGATTGGTCCAATGATGTAAACTAGTGGAGATAAATTTCCAGTGAAGCTGGTTTATGTGAGCAATTAGATAGGTTTCTCATAGATGAGGAAAATGTAGTTTGCCCATGCAGTCCAACTTTTTATAAAAAGTTTTTTAAGAGAATCTGCACCTTTTTATAAACTTTTTTAGATATGTTGCTTTTTTTGATTTTCTGTCACTTTCTCGAGTGTGTCTTAGCAGAGCATAAACTTTGATTTGATCAGGTGGTTTCAAATTGGACTGTTTTGCCCGAGCGGGAAGTGATATTGGATGATTTCCCGAATTTTGAGATTGAGACATTAATTTACCGTGCGGGTTGGAAAAATGTGATAGCTAAACCATTTCATATTTATTTAACACTTGTTCAAGAGTTCTATACAAATTTTAACTTTTTTAAATGTTTGTCAATTTTTTTGAAAAAACTTTTAAAGAAGTAATAGTTACGTCCTAAACTATTAACTAAAACCTAAAACTAAGGACTCGAACTATTAACTAAAACTTTCCCCTAGTTGCGATTCCATCTCCAAGAAACCTCAAGACTCAAATATATTGTTTGTGGGCTATGATCATTGATGACTTTACTGATTGGTCCAATGATGTAAACTAGTGGAGATAAATTTCCAGTGAAGCTGGTTTATGTGAGCAATTAGATAGGTTTCTCATAGATGAGGAAAATGTAGTTTGCCCATGCAGTCCAACTTTTTATAAAAAGTTTTTTAAGAGAATCTGCACCTTTTTATAAACTTTTTTAGATATGTTGTTTTTTTTTGATTTTCTGTCACTTTCTCGAGTGTGTCTTAGCAGAGCATAAACTTCGATTTGATCAGGTGGTTTCAAATTGGACTGTTTTGCCCGAGCGGGAAGTGATATTGGATGATTTCCCGAATTTTGAGATTGAGACATTAATTTACCGTGCGGGTTGGGAAAATGTGATAGCTAAACCATTTTCTATTTATCTTACACTTGTTCAAGAGTTCTATACAAATTTTAACTTTTTTAAGTGTTTGTCAATTTTTTTGAATTTCCTTATCTTTTGAATGTTTGTCACTTTTTGTTTCACCTTTCTATTACTTTTTTTTTTTGAATTTGTGTCACTTTTTAAGTATTTGTCACCTTTTTTAATCTATATAACTTTCTTTTTTTCATTTTTGTCACTTTTTTGTTAAAAAAAAATTGTCACTTTGTTCGAATTTTTATCACTTTTTTTTTTGGTCACTTTTTTCAATCACTTTTTTAATCACCTTTTATTTTGATGTTTGTCACTTTTTTAGAGTTTATGTAGGGTTGGACAAAATATTCGAACCGTGCGATTTTTCTTAAGTTAAATGCCCGAACAGGTATCTAAATCGAGAACCGACGAGTTCGGTTCGGTTCTAGACCAAGAACTGAAGAACCGAATCTTTCTAAAATTTTTAATTTTTTTATATTGGATAAATCAAATTATTTTAATTTTTTTTCTAAGTAAATTAGCAAATTAACTAATTTTTTAATTAATTCTCTAACTCCCAAGTCCATGCCTAGCTAGCTCAACCCAACCAAATTTCTACATCCAACTTTTTGTTTTAATTTTTGGCCCAATTATTAGTTCAATATTAACAATTAAGCCTAACTGCCCAAGAGGGCCAATACTTAAAAATTTTAAATTTATAACTTTCAATTTATTAACAAAATTAATTTATATTTCATTTTTCATGTAAACTTGAAGGTTTGAAATAGACGAACCATTGAATGGATCGTTGAAATTTTAGTATTAGTATCTACTCTTTGATATTTGTATGTATTGGTAAATTAATCTTGTTGGACAACTTGTTATTTACATGTTATTAAATTGGACGACGTTAATTTTCTAAAAATACGATTGAATGTGTTATTTGTTGTATTTATGTAGTATTATTATAATTATTAAAAAATTTAATTATAGTATGGAATCGAATGGAACCGAACTGAACTGAACGGTTCCATAATTATATTTGGACCTGACAGTTCCATTTATTAAATATCTGAAAATTTTTGGTTCGATTTTGTTCTCTTTAAAATCGAATCTAATCGACCCGCGCCCAGATCTAAGTTTGTGTCACTTTTTTTGAGTTGTGCTAAAAAAAGTAACAATTTTTATAAAAAAAAATGACACAATGTCACTTTTTAATTTTACACGGTATATTTTACTCCCAAAAAATTTTTCATATTATTTTTCAAAACACCGGATATTTTTGTAAGTTACCCTTTTTTATTTTTTAAAATACTAATTTCCTACCTGAACCCGTCTTCCCTTCCCATTGTCCCAATTAAGAAAGGCCAGAGCGAGAAACGACCAGACAAAGGTAAAACCGGGAACCGGCACTACCCGAAACTGTCTTCCCTTCCCATCGTCTCTCTTCTCACTCCTCTCTCAGCAGTCTGCCGTGCCACGTCATCCCACTGCCTTCCTATTACCAGTAGGAATCGGTACTACCCGAACCCGTCTTCCCTTCCCATCATCTCTCTTCTCACTCCTCTCTCAGCAGTCTGCCGCGCCACGCCATCCCACTGCCTTCCTATTATCGGTATAAAATGTGATTTGTTTGAATAAGGCTGTTAATTGAATTTTTTTTTTTTTTATAATTCAAGCATATACTTTTTATTTCAATTTGATTTCACTTTGTAACTAAGTATGCCATACCTTTTACCTCTCTCAATTTATGCCCATTGAGGCTGATGCCATAACGTGGAGGACATTGCTTATTGCCTGCAACATTCATGACATTAATGACTTAAGTGGGGTGGGGGAGAAGGTGAGACAAAAGCTACTTGAATTGGAGCCCAGAAGAAGTGGGAACTTTGTGATGGTGGCAAACAAGTATGCTGAAGCGGGTTTGTGGGAGAAAGTAACAAATGTGAGGAACATTATGAGAGATAAAGGATTGAAAAGACAGCCGGAGAGAGCTGTCTAGAGGTAGGAGGATCCATCTTTAGATTCTTCTCTGGAGATGAATTCAAAATAAGGATATGTTAGTCTTGCTAGATAGACAGAACTTGCATATTAAGATGATAAATGATGACTAATTATGTGATTCTTGAGTGGTTTTTGAAAGGACAGTTTTAGTAGTCGTAATTGGAAACCAAATACGTTAAAATCAAGAGTATAAGTGTATAACAGTTTTAGTTCTTATAATTTGATCTATTCGTTCTTTGTATGATATGATCTAGTGAGATGACAATACTAAGAATGATATTTTCTTCAAGTCTATGAAGGGCGTGTCTCAATTATATAAGTTGTCTTTTCCTTGATTTATTTTTAAGCATTGCGACGAGCTTGTTCAACTAAATTCCTAGAATTTGTGCATTGTAACGACCTCTATGATTTGTAGGAATCTTGGTTGTGAGTTCATTCCTCTTCTTTTATGCTAATAGGTAATTTTCATGGAACAATAAACTGTTTGAAAATCTCGTGAACAAGAGTTTGAATGGGATCAAAGGCCAAAGAGAGGTCTCCAATAGAGCATTATTTAGGAATTTGGACCAATGAAAACATTGAAAAGTTGCTCACCTTGTCACCTATTTTGCATGCATAATACAATTTTTTATTTTATTTTAATTTCGTTTTGTAAACTATATATATGTTTTTGTAAAGCTAGTATGCTCATTTTTACCTACTTATATCTCTAGCGGTTAATTTATGTTTTCATTGACGTGATTGGTAAGGAGGATTTAAATGTGGATGATTATTACAGTGAGAATTTTTGTGTTTAGAAAATTCTAAATTACAAGGAGAATTTGTCATCCTCATCTTTTGCTTTTGTTTTGTGTATATGTTCTGACTTTTAAATCTATATATGGTCAGTTTTATAGGATGGTTCTAATCTGAATTGTGTCATCTGCAGAAAAAATGTACAAGAGCAGAATACACCTAAGACTGCTAAAACAATAGCAGCCAGTCGACGCTGTCATTCAGAGATTGGAAGGGACGGGTTTTGATCTCGTCCACAGAATAAACATGGACTATAGGACGACAATCGACTTTTTATTAGCACTGATAAATCATTATTTAGTCGATATGTCATGTTTTATCATTGGGGATCAGAGGATAACCCCAACATTAGACGACGTGGCCAGAATTACGGGGTTCTCCATTGATGGCTTGCCAGTAATTGGACGGGATTATAAAGCTGATGAATGCCCCGGTATCTGCAGTGAGTTATTGTTATCGCCGAGGCTTCTCCATCCGAAGAACAGATGTGATGTAATTCTCAAGGAATTACTATCTTTCAAGGACATTCCCCTCGTTTTAGTTGGGGCTGGACTTGATCCATACGTTAGAGCATATGTCCTTTACGTCATCGGATGCTTTCTTAGTCCCCGTAGGGATCATTCTTCAGTTCCGTGCATGTACTTGTCCTTGTTGAGAGATGTGGATGCTATTCAAAATTATGCATGGGGAGCTGCATTATTGTGTCAATTGCATCACACAACATGGAAGAATTTAAAAGGGCAATGATTGATGGAAAAAATCTCCAAGTCTCGAGTTTTTGTGCCTATTTTTTTACGGTATATATTATTTTTATTTATTTCCTTCATTTATATAAGTTAATATATTATAATTTATATTTTTCATTTGTTTGTAATTTTTCTTTTATGAACACTTCCCTATAATTCCATGCACTCTCTATGATGTGGATATTTATAGAGAGAATTTTGAAGAAAGAGAGTTGTTTTCTATCTTTCCATTAATGATGGGATGGTCTCAAGCGGTGGAACGCAAGTCCAAAAACTCCTATATCAAAAACAAAAGAGAGGGATTTGATGTGATGCTTATAAATGAAAATGTAAGTTTATTTTATTTATGTGAATTTTTAGTTACTCTATTCTAATTTTGTTTAGTTTTCAATTAACTTTATGTTATTTTTTCTCGTAGATTGTGTGGCAGCCATATGCAAGATTGCTCGACAATTTTCTGCCTCATTATCTTGTTAGGCAGATGGATGTTGCACTTTCCCACACAATATTGATATGTTTTGAAAAATTAGCATATGATCGACCGGACTTGTGCCCACTTAAGTGGAATTTTGCCGGTTGATTTTGTTCCTCTCGAACCATCGCTGTCAAGAGTCAACAAGAAGCGTACCACTTTGTGAAAATTTGATTGGACTGTGGGGCATGCGAATTTTGTAAAGATGTGGGATGAGAGGAGATTAAATTTGATTATCAACAGAAATGGTAATTTATTTATTTTATCATTTTTTTAGTTTGTTAAATTTTATTTATGTTTTAAACTAAACGTGTTCTTTTTATGTTTGGTAGTAGCGAATGAGAGTGAAGGGCCTTTGGCTTCTAATGGTATTTGTCCCCTTTTTTTTTTTCTATATTTTAAATTTTATTTATGTTTTAGAATACTATTATTCTTTTTATGTTTGTAGATGATAAAAATCAAATGCCATCGATGTCCGGAGGAGTTGAAAGTGATTTGGATGATGACTTTCATGGAGGGGCCAACATCATCGATGAAGGGCCGAGCCAGGAAACAGAGGTTTGTGAAAGTCACACCGAATATCAAACTCCTATTGGTGGCTTTCACGGTCCAAGCTTTGCTACTTCTGGAGGAGCCAGCCCTATTGATGGACGGTCGAGCCAAGAAATTGAGGTAAATGGAAGTCACAATGAAGAAACTCCTACCAAGTAGCATGAAGCTAGCCCAAATTTTGCTGTGAACGTGGATGATATGAGGCGTGGCAAGAGGATGAAGATAACCCTTTCATTGTTTGGTGCATATGAAGTTGATTCAGCTATCTGTCGAATTCACAGACAGAATAATTGAATGTGAGGAAGAGGTAATTGTTATTTCATCTTTTTATTCTACATCACATGTTCTCTTATGGGATTTCTTCTGTATATGTTTTATCTTTTGTGTAAAATTTTGAAAGTTATAATTTAATTAAAATGATGCCTTTTGATTTATATGAGAACACTAGGTGATGAAGGTTAATAATACAGTGTATGAGAAACTAAACACAATTTCGTTTTGTCTACACAAATGAGGATGTTGCAATTGTTTTTAGATCTTGTAATTCTTGATGTTTGTGTGCATTCTTCTGGCTGATATTTGTGTGCATTCTTCTGGCTGATAATGTTTAAGTTACAATGATATGCGGCTTCAAAGTTTCTCCAGGCGGTGCTAATGTTTGTATAGCAAAGTTGGGAGATTTCTCTGCTTTTATTGGAAATGTACATTTTTTCCTTTACCTTGTCTTGTTCAAGAACCTTATTTTATTATCATAAACACCAATGTTACTCGAAAATATGTTGCTTTGCTTCCGTCAAATGAAGTGCGCAGATTGGTGAAGCAGCTTGTCAGGTTTTACTTTTATGTATGGATAAAATGACGTGGCTCTAAATTCTTTTTCATTTACTAATGATTTCATCTTCAATGTTTAGGAAATGGAAGAAAACTATGGATGAGTGGGTTAAGGTGAACAAACCTGAAGCATCTTCACACCTCATCAGTAGATAGTCCAATTTCTGTTATTGCCTTTCATTTTCATTCTATCTTGCATATACTACCTGCATTAAAAACAGTTGAATTGAATGAGAGTAATGAATTGTGAGTATAGAAGAGGTTTGTATATTGATAACTGTGGTGGTGGCAGTGGCAGCAGCTGGTGGGGACTCACCTCAGCAGAACATGTCCAAAAATCAACAAAATGGCTATCACCAGGTGAAAATCGGATGTTGTTCCAATCAATTTGTTTTCCTGTTAAAAAAGAAAGATTGAAAAAATAAAGTAAAGGAAGAAGCAAAGTTCGTATGAATGCAATTTAAAAATTCTAAAGTTCTGATTTTACAGGTGCCGGATTTCGGGTACTCTCCAAATCCACTACAGCTGGGCAAATCTCCCGAACCGAACTGATCGAATCGAACTAGACGGTTCTTGTAAAATTAAATACCCGAACGGGTATCTAAATTGAGAACTGACGGATACGGTTCGGTTCTAGATCGAGAATCGAAGAATCGAATCTTTCTAATTTTTTTTTATATTGAGTAAATCAAATTATTTTAATTTTGATTTTTTCTAAACAAATTAACAAATTAACAATTTCTAAATCCAAATTTTTGGCTCAGTAATTTGTTTAATTTCTAATTTTTTAATTTTTGGTTCAATTACTCATTTTATTGTATCATTTTTTAGCCCAACAAGATCAAATCCACTAAATAACTCTAAACACCTATACTAAAGTGCATAACGTTGTCTCGATTTTCGCACTCACTCTAGCAACCTCGCTAACATTCCAAAACATATACAATCGTCGGCCGACGTTATGACCTACTCGGACCTAAACTTTGATCTAGCGATCATTTGAACAAGATAGTCTGCTAGTATCTGACATTCCAAAACTATTGAGTGTAAGTATTTATATAATGTTATAAATGTTAAAAAATTTAATTATAGTACAGAATCGAACGGAACGGAACCTAAACGGTTCCATAATTATATTTGGATCCGACGGTTTCATTTACTAGATACTCGAAAATTTTGGTTAGATTCGGTTTGGTTCTCTTTAGAATCGAACTGAACCGACTCGCGCCCACCCTTAAAAGCCACGGATAGAGAACCGAACCGAACCGACCCGCGCCCACCCCTAAAATCCACGGAGAGAATGTATGAATCAGATTCTGAAATTTGCGGTTGGTCAATATTTTTGTTGCTTTCATTATGTTGTGCATTTAGATGACATTATTCCCATGTTTTGTCTGTTAGATGTGTGAAGTCTGGTGCGGAAAGGAACATCTTAGAATATGAACCAAAGCCTAGACCACCTCAATCTGTCCCTCGTAGAGAAACTCCATTCAGACGACCACAATCAGTTCCTAAATTTGCTTCTGCTGCTCCTAGTGTACTGACTTCTGAATTGAACTTTTTATACATACAAATGCACATTACACATCATTCATTTGTGTGCGTAAATGGATGGTTGTGCTTGTTAAAAATTTGTTGGTTTATCTTTTAAACACTCAATTTTCATTTTAATGTTTTGTTCACATAAATTTGTATGGTGCATTATGTTGATACTTGGCATTATGTTTATGTAATTCTTAATGTTTTAAGAGAAAAACTATGTTGCGTGGTTTAAGATGATTTACTTGTTCTGCTTCTCCTTTTGTTTTTTGTTTTTGCTTTGCTCAATTGGGAGAACCATACGTGTGGTTTTGGAGTTCAAAATAATTTATTTATTTATTTATTTATTATTATTATTATTATTATTATTATTTTTTTTTTTTGCGCTTTGTTGAATTGTGAGAACCATACATGTGGTTTTGAATTTTCCAACGGCTGCATGAGTTCAAATAAAAAAAAGTGCAAAACAGTCTCAATTAAATTTATTAAAAAAAATTAAAAATTGCAAACGAGTCCTAAATAAATTATTTATTATTATTTGATAATTGCAAACGAACCCAAGATTAAAGGTATTGTTGGGAGTGGAAAATGAGTGCTTGAGTCTTTCAAGATTGACGGTGAATTTCAAGTCACGTTCCTTTTGCATGTTCATAAAATATGTTACATACTAGAATTTAATTTGAGGGTAGATGCGAAGAGCTAGATTTTATCTTTGTAAAAAAAAAAATAAAAAAAATAAATAAAAAGGTTTAACTTTGCGTATGCACGACCTTGTCCTTTAGGGATTGACGTTGAATTTCAAGACACATTCTTTTCGTACGTTCATAAAATATGTTTTGTACTAAAGAGTCTAATTAAATGTATTAAAAAAATAATTTTTCAAAAAATTAAAAATAAAAAATGTAAACGAATCCCAAATAAATTATTTATTATTATTATTTAAAAATTGCCGACGAACCCCAAATTAAAGGTATTAGATTGGAAATGGAACATGAATGCTCGAGTTAATTTTAAACAAAAACGTCCTTTTGGGATTGGTGTTGAATTTCAAGTCACATTTCTTTTGCATGTTCATAAAATATGTTAGTACTAGAATTTAATTTTGTGGTGGATGCAAAGAGCTAGATTTTATATTTGTAAAAAAACAAAAAAAAAATGGCTTAACTGTGCGTATGCATGACCTCGTCCTTTCGGGATTGACATTGAATTTCAAGTCACATTCCTTTTTCATGTTCATAAAATATGTTATGTTCTAGAATTTAATTTTGGGGAATGTGCAAAGAACTAGATTTTATCTTTGTTAAAAAAAAGAAAAAAAAAGAATGACTTAACCATGCGTACACACTGGCCTACAGGTCGTGCGTATGCAAGGTTAGCATATTGGCTTACTGCAACCAATTTGCTTGGGCTGTGGGTGCGCACTTCCCAAGCTATGCGTACGCACAGCTCATCCGGGTGAGGGCCCACATTTTTATTAAGACCTTAACACTTTCTTAGGCTTCTTTATTTTCCATTTTTCTTTATTTTAAAAAGGTGAGGAGAACCGAACGAAGGGTTCTCTATTTTCCATTTTTATTAAACATATTTTTTTGCCGATAAATTTCTAATAATTTATTTCCAATGTGTTTAATTTATTTATTAAAATTTTAAAATTTAACTATTCTTTGACTTGCGATCATGAAAATAAGAATTATTTATTTAGATAGTTAGGGAACTAAATATGGTCATTCTTTTTCATTTTCTTTCAATTGAAAAATAGCAAATTTTCATTTTTTATTTATTTTTAAAAATATAAATTTTTGTATTTTTCATTTCTAAGCAAAGTGGCTTATACAAATCTTTTTTGTTGATAACTTCAGACCAATCAATTGAATCGTACGTACGGTTCTCCCATATCCATTTTTCTACAAATAATTGTTCAAAAATTTATTTCAAGAAAATGTGGTGTCTTTATGGCATAAAGCAAACTTAACTTTGAAAATGACATTTCAAGACAGCCAAGATTATCTTTCATTATTTATATAATTCACAAGCCAAAGAATTGACTTTCCCAATAACTTTTCCAACCAAAAGTGTGTTGTCATTTCAAATAGCTTTTAGGCTTTCAAAACCTCTCCCAAACTAACAATAATTTACACAAATTTATTTTCATGTTTTATAGCTACGATCATGTATTATATTAGTAATGTTCTTGAAAATTACGAATTATTTGTGGTTTAAATAAAACGATAGCATTTATGTTTGAATGTTATATCACCATTTTAAGGGAAAAAAATTGTGTAATTAATTATTTATCAATAATCTCACATTTGAAAGCAAAATGCCAATGTCTTATCCATATACGATACTATAGCTTTTATAAAAAACGACCAAAATGGGTGTAATCCTTCCACATTTTTGTTAGTTGACCAAGAAAAGTGGTCTTCTACCAATTTTGACCAAAGAAACTAAGAATTTTTTTTTTAAAAAAAGGTTGTCTCCTCTACATACCCCTCCTTCTTCCTACCCACGCTTGAAAATTAACCCATTTTTTTAAAACATTGCCAACCCATTTCGTCACCTGCCCAATTCCAATCATCGTCATTTTCTCCAATAATCGTACTTACAATAATTTTTTATCTCCAAAAATTGATTTTAGGCACATAGCAACAGAAGGAGAAAAGATAAAAAGGAGAAACATGACAACAATTTCTACAAATGATTAAATAAAAACATTACACAAAGTTTACGAAAAATGAAGCCTACATTTAACTTCATTCTCATAAAACGAAAAAATCATGGTAGGCCTGAAAAGGAAATACTACAAAAAACTACAAAAACAAATTAATCATTTTAGGTCCGAACAACAATTCCCACAAAACGAAAAAACTACAAAAACACATTAATTATTAATGTAATGTGTTTTTGTCATTTTTTCATAACAAAAGATGGACCAAATAACTTCATTCCCCCTCAAGCCTACATTTAACTTCATATAAATTTACTTATATACAGGCTCAAGCTTCAAGTCAGGTCCCAAAATAAACTTGTCAATGACTAAATATTTCTTATTCGGAGGTGAAGGTGGAGTTGGACGCGGAGGTGCCGGAGGCTGTTGAACCGGTAGAAGACGTCCCTGCTCTCTCAAAGCGTGCACAAGAGATGAAATCAGGACAATGGAGATCATGAAGACCACCAAAATCAAATAGCCGTACCCCATTGTCAGCTAACGAAAAAAAATAAAAACATATCAGAAAGAAGAAGAAGAAGAGAAGAAAAAAAAGCACACATATCAGGAAGAAAAAGAATAAGAGAAAAAAAAAGGAAACAAAAGACAACTTACAAAATTGAAATGTTAGCCTCAAAAGGAAAGATGTCCTGCAGAGAAGTATGGTTCTTTTTAACCATTTAGCTGATGCAAACAGCTCCTTTTTACCAAAGCCTGATAGTGATTTGACCTGCAAGAACCGCACGTATGGTTCTCTTTTTTCATTTTCTTAAAATTTTTATTTCAAGACAAAATTGTTCTGGCTCACAATTTTGAATTTGATGAAACAAAGCAATTGGATTGACTGTGGCATTCTGAACTACATGCTTGGACTCATTATGTTCTTAAAATATTTATTTCAAGACCAGTGTTGTAGCTCACATTTTTGGATTCGAAGAAACAAAGAACGACAATCACGGCTCACACTCACTTTGTTGCATCTCCTGCACATTCATTTCAGCCTGAACTTCATCCTCAGCATTAGGTAGCTCCACCTCGGCTACCTCGTCGTCCGCTTCGGCTCTTACGTACGTCTTGTCCACAACTCCGGCATTACGTAGAAAGTTATGAATGCCCATCGTGGCTATGACAACTACAACTTGTGTTAGGAAATAGTAGCTAGGCATACGATCAAGGATTTTTCATCTCTGCTTCAACACACCGAATGCACATTCGATGACGTTCCTACATGAAGAGTGTCTGAAGTTGAACCTTTCACGTGCATTCCAAAACTTATGGCGCTGTCCTGTTAGTTCGTCGTGAAACTATTGGAAGTGATACAGTATGTCTGAACCCTTGTATGGGGCCATATATCCAGGTTGATGTGCAAAATCGGAGTCCACCAAATAATATTTGCTGGGTGCTGGCTGCGGGAAATTTAGTTCAGGACTATATATAGCACGAGTTAGAATTCGAGCGTTATGCGTATTCTCGATATAACCAGCAAGCATGAACGTGAAACACAAATTGAAGTCACATGCGGCCAATACATTTTGGGTCGGTACTCCTTTTTGACCTATGAAGTTCACATGCTCGTGATGCGGTAGCACAACTTTCACATGTGTACCGTCATTGACCCCGATGTAATCTTAAAAGAGTGGATGCTTGTTCGGGTCTGGCCTATGCGGCTCGATGCCATCATTGTAATTCGGAACGGGTCATATCACACGTTAAGAGAGCACAACGACGGCACGTAGCACCTCTTTGAAGAACCGGCATATGGTATGCAATGATTGATTGACGATTGTTATCACCTGTCGATATCTCTTCCCATATGCAAGTATGCACAAGAAGATACCAACTTTCTCATAGATATCCATCTGCTGGCTACTAGTTAAACTATATTCGTTTGGCAGGGTATGTGCAAAGTGTCGCAGCATCGTTGGGTACATTCGAAATTCTTGATGGCACATCTGTTCATTCCCGCTCATAGCCTCCATCATGAATATGTGGCCATTTCTTGCGAACGAGAATCTTCGAACACGATTACGCTATGTGTGATAATACTTCCACGCATCGGTCCCGACGACGACGCAGAAGGTGATCCACGCTACCACGTCGTCTGCAAGACATTCTAAGAACTCCTCCCCGGGCTCTTCCTCTGCGTCGAAGATCAAAAGTAGCACAATCGAAGTTCAGATCTTCCATGGCCTAACACAAGTAGTAACACTTCCTCCTACACGCTTCTTCACCAACGGAGAACCCTGTTTATATAGAGGAAAGAAGTGTACGAAAAGATATGTGTAGCCATTGATTGACTGGAGAGAATCTTACAGCATTGGTAGGTACAGCAAGATTCCCTACAATAGATGCACAAACTCTCCACTAAAATCTACTAGTGAACATGTCCTACTCAAATGTACTAGTAAGCAACACGTGGTTAATACTAACAAAACAACAATAAAACATATACATAAGCGACCAAGCTTTGTAGAAAAAAGGGGTCAATTTATAGGAAAAAACATATGTTCTGGGGGGGGACACTACACTATTACATAGGTACGTAATGCACGGAAAGGTCCTAGTGGAGCGATTTGCCACGCTCATTGAACTGCCACTTAATCCATTCAAAATTTTCATCTGCATCTTTCATGACAACGAGCATATCTCGGTAGTGCTTCTGCGCCAGAAGAGTGCAAGTGTAGAAGTACAAAGGTGTATGACGTTGGAGCCGTCCCCTCGCAAGTAGCTCCTCCACACAATCAGCCCTAGCATTGCTTGTTAGATTGATAATGCTATTGATCTTCACCGCCACTTTCTCGGTTGCACTTGTTGCTTGATCCACTAAGAACGACAGGTCACGAGCTGAAATTTTTTTGTTCTTTCCCTTTCGCTCCTTCGTGGACGACTGTCATTTTTCATCGATTCTAGCGTTGGAAGTGTTCATGCTTGCTGTACCTGTTCTAATGTCTCCCTCATCGCTAAAACTACTACTCTCTCCGTCGATGGGAATTGCATCCAAGTGGTCCTCCGCCGCACCATCCTCAAACAAATTGAACCCTGTCCTGCATAACTTCATAGGTGTCATCGCGTACTTGTCATCGTTGTAGCTTTCTCCGAATAGCTGATGGTAGCGAATGTAAATCTTGCTCACATCTTTATCTTTGAAATCCTTGAAGTCTTTGTTCTCCTGTAACCATGGGTGGACAACATAATGCAGTGAGATTGTTAATCTAGCAGTGTGGTCGTCGTATAAATTTGAACGTGGAAGATATGCATCCAATACAAAATGTAAGACCTTAGCTTCAAAGTGGTCATGTGTGTATGGTTATTTTCAACATGGGCATGCAGCTTAGCAAGTTAATATGGAAAGCACACAAAACAACTCATGTCGCCTTCTAATCGGGTAGACTGTAATCAACGAATGTTCACAACACACAAATACAAAGCATGTTGGTCAAAGCAAGTGCACACAATATATTCGTTCCGAAGACATGTTCGCAGCATAGAAAACAACATCAAGAAATAATGTGTAATGTGTGGGAAGAAATCTCCAAATGTGAAAATAACGACATAACAACTGTAAATAGATTTCACTACTTTGTGTCGTAAAATTGAAGGTAAAACATGCTGCCTAGGGACAAGCCAGAGGCTTACCCAAAATTTTATTGCCCACCATTCCTCTGATACTACAACCCCCCTCGTCACTACAACTCGCCTCGTCGATGGATCATATTCTATCCCGATGGACATAAAGTCGAAAAGACGCTTCCACTCGCGACGCATCGCATCCCAATGGTTGCGAAGCTGTTGTTTGGTCCAGTTGTGGCCGGAAGATGAATTGAATAACGCAATGATGCGCTCCCAGCCATGCTTCATGAAACACCTTCCATGCCGATGGCCTTCGACAATGGCGGGTTTGCAAGCTGCAATGAATGTCATTCTCTCGGTCGGCTTCCATCTCCCATTTCTCTTCAACCCTGCCTTGATAGCGGGTTCAGGTGCAATGAAGGATCTCGATTGAGGGTCGTAGCCCATCTACAAGAAGCAAGAATGAGGTGGTAAAAAGAGGAAAACGTGAAAGTCGAACCAAAAGAAGACAAATTAAAAAGTTACCTAACTAGAATATGGATCCATGGGGAATTTAGCCTTGAAATAGAAACGGCAATGGCGTTGGCATGGGATTAGCACCTGTAACCCCCTAGCGAAATGGGCGAGAATTGGGGACGGTGTGGTGTGATTTCGAACTTGACCGATTGCAATAGTGCTGGTGGAGGATATAGCGCAAGCCAAATCTGCCGTTATTTGTCGCACCCACGGTGTAGAGAAGATGGTGTGCTACAGAATGACGGTCGTCGGACTTTAAAGCTCTAAAAGGCAAGAGAATGGCCGGAGTGTTTTTCCTCTTTCAAGTAGCTGGGGCCGAAACATATCTCTCTTTATTTGAAAATTGTCTTTATTCTGAGACACAACAGAAGAGTAAATGGGAAAAGTGAAGAGCTATTTGTCATAGAAGTACAATAAAGTAGTAGGTTGGTTGTCAGTAGGTTATTGGAGCCAATGGTCAATTTTCTTATTAAAATGAGGCAATAAGTATGGCACAAACAGGCCATAGATTGGTTTTGTTGACCACTCTTGGGAGAAGTTAACATTTAATATATGAATTAATATTTGTACTTTTCAAATAGGTAACATAATTATAATTATTATAAGACCGATTTTGTTTGTGATGGAATTTGCAATTGTTATTGAGGTATTTTGGTCTAAAATTTATCAAAATGGACATGGAACAAATTTTGGACATTTTTGTAAATGATCATGTAAAAGTAGCTAGTTATTGCAATTTCCTCTAAAAGAAATCAATGTATTAGCCTAATATAAAGTAATTTTGTTGTCCCCCTTGTCTCAACCCTTAAAATGGTATCATACGCAGTTTGCATTGTTGTAGGAATGTCAACGACTCAAGCTGAAACTCTCAGCTCGGGCTCAACTAGGGTAAAATGTCCGAGCATTTTTTCGGACCCGAGCCGGGCCAAGTTTTTGTTTGACCAAAAAAATTAGACTCAACCCGAGTTTTCGGGTTGGGCCGAGCCTAGCAGGCTCACTTTATTTTTTGCTTTTTTTTAATATAATAATAAATAGGTAGCAAGTTGCTGCTTTTAATTATTTTTTTAAGTCGCGAGCTTGGCTTGTGGGCCACTCAGGCCAGCCGGGCTTGGCCTAGCAATCCAAACTAGGGCTCGACGCGACCCTCGAGCCTGGCCAGCTCGACCTTTTACCAGCTCGAGCCATGGGCGATTCGAAACGACGAGCCTGATTATCATCCCTACATTGCTGCAGCCAGATCTAACATTATCTCTGTAATATTTAATTATGATAAACAAATAAATCAACAACAAATAAAGAACAGATTTTACAGTTGGCCAAACCCAGGTTAAGATAAAAATTGAACATCTAAACCAATAATTCATTCAACCAAATGTATAAATGCTTAATTGAAATCATATGGAAAATAAGAGAAACAAGAAAAGCAATCAGGATACTTACTCAACATGATTTCGATCCTTTATTTCCTATTCCCCTCATACCGAAAGGGATTCTTCAGATTTCATTATCCGCACTGCCATTTTCAGTTATGGGTTTTCTTGTTGTTTGAGTTGTACCTTTTCTAGAGTTGTAAAGTTGAGCTATAGTAAGGGTCGATGGCAGCGAGGTGGTTCAAGTGCTGTGGTGGAGGTATCTAGGGTTAGATTGAGCAGACTTCATTTCCTTTTCTTTTATAATACTTACTGTTGACCTCGAAAATTGGACCCTCCACGTGGCCAACTGATAGTCGCTCCACGTATTCATCTATGCGCACAATCAACGCACGGTCAGATGCACACGGTCGGAACCAGCGGGGGTGGTGGCGGTCGTATACACTCCGACGGTCAAGTTAGGCTTAGGTCATCGGAACAGTACCAAGGTTGTGCAAAATAGTTGGGAGGAGAATATATATATTTTCTTGCTATGGAGTGCTAAGTAATAAGAGTTTCATTACCTCTGTCTCTTGCCAAGCCTTGGATATTTATAGGTGAGGAGAACCGTTGGATGTAGGACACGTGTATACATATGATGGTATGAGGCGTCTGCTCATAGGCGTCAATCAGCCGCGTCTATAGAGTGGGCGGGTAATTACTTCTCTCGAATTGAGTTGACATAAAGTTGATACGTCACATCAACTAGTCTTATGGAGACATGAAATCTCTTTGAACCTTAGGGGCAGAAAAGATCTCATTCTGCAATTGGCGGTGGATTCTCTGACAGAAGTCCCCCGAGTGCATTTCGCCTTAGATTCAAGGACGAGGGCGCTCAATCCGTCCCGCAGAATTGCCTATGCCTCTTACTGTGATAGTAGATCGTCACTAGTGGTGAAGTCACTTCGTAACCACTTTAGATGAGTGTTCCACACCTTGCATGATGTGGTGATGGACTTTCTGAAGTGGTTCAGATAGGGGCGTAACAGTGGTCCCCCAAATCTAGGTATGAATATTTATAGCATAGGTGGACTTGTCTTCCCGATCGGGTATGTATGCCTCGGGATGGGGACCGTGATTTGTGAGAACTTCAGGGTCGGTCTTCTATGTTCACCGAAGCGTTGATCCTAGGCAGATGCGCTAAAGCTTCGCTACTGCGTGAAGGAAAAATTTATGTGAGATCGAGGTGCTGCCCAATTGAACGATGCATAGGGAGACGGTCAACGCAGCGACTGAGGTGATGACCCACAGGGGACTTCGCGTCAGGTGCGTCCAAACTTTGTAAAGCTGAGTGAGGAGCTCATCTACACCGGTGTGCTAACCCACAGGGGACGATACGTTGGGAGTTGGCTAAAACTTTGTAAAGCTTAGGAGAGAACGTAGCGATCGAGGCAATGACCCACAGGGGACTCCGCGTTAGGTGCGTCTAAGCTTTGTAAAGTTGAGTGAGGAGCTCATCTGACACTGGTGTGCTGACCCACAGGGGACGACGTGTTGGGAGATGACTAAAACTTTGTAAAGCTTAGGAGGGAACGCAGCGACCGAGGCGATGACCCACAGGGGACTCCGCATCATGTATGTCTAAGCTTTGTAAAGTTGAGTGAGGAGCTCAATCCGAGGCGGGCGGTTCTGACGTTAAATGATTTGACAGCTGTTGCATATTTCCAAGGTGATAGTTGGGTACAGCGCTCATTCCCCTAAAAGGCTGCTACGGCTACTTATTTTTTACGGCTGGTGGTGACTGAGGCGACGCGTTTTATGCTAGCGTGAGGGTTACAGCAAAATCTTAGGCATAGATCAAATCTGGCATTTCATTTCAACGACCTAGATTGATGATGCGACGGATGACCTACATTTATTGCATTTGAATTCAACGATGGAGATTAGTTGGAACGCTCTATAAAAGGCGGACTTGAACGTTTTGGAGCTTTTTCACTCTTGCGAAAACAAAAAATCTCATTTGCTCTCAAACTCTCTGTGATTTCTGACTTTTTCTAGCATTTCTGGCAAGAAATTCGAATTTTAGGTGACCACACACCGCTTTTTGACCATTTTCGGCTAGGGAACACTTAAACTCATAAGTTTCAGTAAATATTTGAGACATTTCCTTTTTGAAAATGGCTTCTGAGGGTAGTGGTAGTTCGTGGAGGGGGCTCGAGTTAGTGTGGATGGACGAGCCCATTGTGGCGACCTCCTCCAAAGTAGCCGAAGTGATACTTGGGGTGAGAACATTTGGAGGAGGCCGGATAGCCCAGTAGATACCTTTGTGCATTGGGAGGTGTAGGATTATCCCTCCAAGCTAAAGGGGGCCAACTTAGAGAGACTTAGGACCGAATATAGGATCCCAGATAGTATAGACCTGATCCTACCCAAACCTGACGAGAGGGCCTGCTACCCTAGGCCAGGGTACGCGGTGATAAGCGAGGCGATCCTTAGGGCCGGCCTTAGACTTCCAATTCACCCTTTTTTCCGAATGGTGCTTGTCTTACGGCTCAGCACCGACCTAACTGAACCTGAACTCCTGAAGCCAAATGGTGGGCTCTTGGATGTTATGGAAAGAGGCGTCATTTTGGGTGGAGATGCCCTTCTCTGTTTTTTAGACCCTCCATATTCCCAAAGTAACAGCCGGGGGGATAAGACCAGGGGCTAGTATTACCTGACCTCTTAGGGTTCCCACACTCCTTTCGTGCTCGATCTGCCGAGCTCCATCAAGGAGTGGAAGAACTTGTGGTGCTGGGCTGTCGGGAGATGGGACACGATGGAAGGGGACCCCCTGGCACCTCTTACGGTCCTCACGAAGTACTCATCACTTAGTAAGTATTGTAGCTGTGTTTCTTGTTTATTTCTCTTCGGTTCGGATCATAACTAACATTTGTGTTCATTTTTTGAAGGCACTCTTCCTCGATGCGGGTTGTCCTCTGACGACTTCGACATCGTCTGCGTCATATATGAGCTACCTCCGAAAAAGAGGTCGTACCACCGGCTAATTAGAAAGAACATTCATTTTGTGATGCACGACTTGATGGCCTCACAAGGTAATATCTCGAAGCAAATACCTTTCAATATTTTTGAGTCGTTTACACTTGCACTAATTTACTTGTTTCTTGCAGATAACTTTAATAAGAAGATGCCTCTACTTCAAGACCATACAAAAGATGATGGTCAAAGCGAGGACCTTGAAGACGTCCTCCTCTGCTTATAAGAAGAAGATGGAGGACTTGGTGGATGCCAGCAAGAGGCTCCAGCCTCTGACGGAAGAGGAGGTGCCTGACGATCCTGAGGCCAATCTGCTTTGAAAGGGTAAAAACCCTGTTGCCCCTTCGAAGCGACCAACGGTGGTGAGGCCACCTCCCGTTTTGAGGCAAACTACAATTCCTACTGGGGTGGCTATTCCGGAGAAAATGCCTGCACCATCAGAGGCTTCTCCTGCTCCGGCCACACTGCCAGTTGCTGCTGTGCCTCTTGCCCAGGTGCTGGAGCAGCCCAAGAGGAAAAGAGCCCGTCCCTCAAAAGAGGTGGACT